GAGTGAGCAGTACAGTAAGTGATGTACCATGAATGAGAGGGAAATTTATGATAGAACAGACCCTTGAGAGAGCTAAATAAGCACAATGGTGTTGAACTGTGGAGGTGTGAGGCCATTTTGGATTCTTGTGAGCTCTTCGGACTCACTGTTAAAGCGGTTAAGAATAGCTGAAAGGTCTGAGTGTGATTGAATTAAAGCCTTGTGTTTTTTTTCCAGATTTTTATTATCTTGCTATGTGTTTTTACATCATTCAGTTCCAGGAAGATTATTGCTTGAAAAACTATAATACATTTTTTATGAAAAGGGCACTTGTATCCTTCTCTACAGTAGCTTTAAAATATAAACATTTCTATTTAATTTTGTCTTGTACATATACATTTTTATAATTATGCCTTATTTGACTAGTCAGGCTGGCGCCACCTAGTGCCTCCGCTCAGTTTCATTTCTCTCCAGCGACCAGGTCAGGAATCGAAATACACTAGACGGTTTGCAAGAACCCTCAAAGTGCGAGTCCAGGCACCAGCCAATCAGCGAAGAGCCATACTGAATCGAGGATTTAAAGCCGGAACAAAGAGAATGTTTGGTGAATTTCATCAAGGGGAAAGATGTTATTGTCCTTCTTCTGACGGGATTTGGGAAAAGCTTAATATACCAGTTATCCCCGTTAGCAGCACATTACAAATGTCATGACCAAATAGCAGTGACTGGTTAAATAAAAAAGTACCCGCCTACCGTTGAGCGAACGAATTCTAAAGCTGTGAGGTCAGACGGTTTCCACAAAGTGAAATCTTCTGATGAATCAGGCTATTATTTGACACAAGTCTCTTGTTATTTATTTATTTTTTTCTACTTATTTAGAATCTATTATTATATTAATATTTTTTCTCTATGTCATTATAATATATTGTGATGTGTGAGCTATTGTGTCCAAGTAATTTCTCTTGTGGATCAATAAAGTTTGTCTAAGTCCAAGTCTAGATACTACAATAATGGATTCTTCCAATAACTACATTGTTTCAAATAATCATTTATTTAAATTATAACTCAAATTGTAATCCTTTTTTCCACATTTGACCCTAAACTTAACCCAATTTCACTACTGAAGATGAAATGCTTAATACTGATTTTGATGTCATAATAAAAATAGTCTTTTTTTGAACAACACAAAGTAATAATAGTTTCTTTAATATAACTATCTGACTCAAGTTCAAGCAAATTTTTTGTCCTGTTTATGTGATTTTGTAGTGTTTACTTTTGATACTTGTGTAGATTTATCTCTGCAAGTCTGCATACATTTTTTCTCGACCCTTCTGCAGCTGCAAAAGACATCACTTGAATACTTAAGTAAACAATTGTATAAATATTCAAATTTCAATGCTATTTCATATTCAGCCCTGGATATTCACTTCCAACTTCCTCCATAAAAATAAGACAGATTTCATTCGCAACAGCCCACCGGAGAGCCTGAACGCAAAAGTATACAATATGTCCTATGAAAAACCCATATGGAAAATGATTGAATGCACTGCACCATTTCTTCCTTATATACACCTGCTGCATATTGGGTAACACATGATTGGAGCTGAAATCAGATGAGAAATGCAGTATATATGGTGCATTGTATTCAACTGGACCTCTGTATTCTCATTGGGGCTGTCTATATGATGATCTAATTCCCATACATTGGTGAGCTGGCGGTCTCACAGATTTTTCATCAGTACACTGGATTTTCACACACCTCGGGGGACGTACCATAAGTCAGAAAGCTGGTCTGAGCATTTTAATATCACATCTGTTCACCATTACAATCCCATTGAAAGAGGCAGGGCTAGGGTTAGACCAGTGCCGCTCTCTCAACGCATGGAAAGCAGAGAATGATTACAGCCGATGAGTGAAATGAAAACATGGTGCACGATACCACAATTATGGGCAATTTTGCTTGTCTTATTGAATCAAAACATGACATTTTTCCCTCGACAAAAGTTTAGCAAATATAACAGCGCATTGCCATGACACCACGCGTTTGTTTGGTCGTTGATCTGAATTGGAGATGAAAATATGAAGTAATGCAACTAAACCAACAAAAACCACAGACACGTGTTAAAAGTGCGCTGTGTAACTTTTCTGATGGAGGTTTGTCTCCCTGGTGACGCTGTTGCTTTGCCTGGAATAGGCTCTATTCACGCTTACGTCACAAACCAGGAAGACCTTTGGAAAGATGCGATTACAACTTCCGGTGTAGTTACCGACACTGGACTCGCCTACCGACTGTGATAAAACCCACTGAAGTAAATGTCATCAGCGGTAAAACAAAGACTGCATACGTATGTGCTGTTTGGAATCATCTTAAATTTGGCGCCCTTATTTCTTCTAATTGCTCCGAGTTGTCTGTCAGTGGGGAAATGATGAATGTAATTGTTGATTTGCTGAACATAATGACGCTACAGTGACACAGTGATGAAGAAAACTGGGCCATTTTCAAATTGTTCCTAGATTTTGTCAGACTTACTATGGCGAACGGAGCCCGTCAGTTGTTGTCATCACATGTTTCCAAATGTCTTCCTGGTTTGTGACATAAGCGTGAGTCGAGCCTATGTTCCACAGTATGGCATTAAAGAACACCTAAACTCCACCCACAACTGCATTGCAACTAGAGCTGCTAAATTGTGAAGTACATGAAGTACATGTTTTTTTCAGCGATACTAGCCTTGATTGAATGAATGATTCCATGATAAAAAAAATAAATACTTTGAGTACCCAATTCATCCTGTATATAGGCTAAATTTCAATATACACACTTTGTATTCACTATTATTGCAGCCTCTCATGTAACATAGTCTAACCATTGCAATATATTGGTCCCACACCATTTTCAATTTTAAAGGTGCCCTGTGTAATTTTTTAGTAGAGATGACGTTTTTACCACAAACCTTTACAAGAGCTGTGTAATCATATTTTGCACAGTTATCTTTTTGCAATAAAGTGTTCAAATAAAGCTTTATGTGTTCTCTTTACGCAGCAGGTCAGCATGTGCTGATATTTTGAGATTTATTCTGAGATTTATGGCCGACAGCTGATGTGCTAAAAAGTTTAAATATTGTTCCGATATATCGGGCAACAGATACCTCTAATATGTTATTGCATTGCCTGCAACATTCCTATTATACTTGTCTATATCCATGAAAGCAAGAATGCATGTTTACAGACACCAGTGATTGAAAAGATGTTAGACAACTTTAATGTCATACAGTGGAACATTCCAAACCGAAGACACAGATAGCAAACCCCCCTCCAGAAAAGTTCTACAGTGCAGCTTCAATCTCCAGTACTGTGCTCATCTGTAACCCTCCTCTTGTCTTTGCCTCTATGTGATGACGTTCAGTGACAGCAGCTGGGGCCCTTCGCCTTTGGTCACACGCTGCTACAGATTTGACCCCTGCTCCTCTCCAGTTTAATTTGACAGCTCCACTCTTAGCCTAGCATTCATACTCACATCCTAACTGTACACGACACAAGCTAGGTCAACCTACAAATCACCACGGTTTAAAAATATTCAGCCGTTTAAAAAAGCACATACAAACTTAGCTGTGCAGCCTCCCCGATCTCCATTTTATTTATAGTGTTTGTAAGGGATAGTTTGGGGCAGTTGCAGCAGTTAAGATGCACACAGACACGCACACATTCACACACACACATGACTGCAGAAGACAGTGGCCAGCCTGTTTAACAAGTAGGTCAGAGCCAAGCGGAGAGAGGGAGTGAGGGACAGAGAGAGGGAAAGAGAGAGAGATAGGCAGGGAGAGAGATATATACAAGAACTGGCTGCAACATTAAGGGACATAACAAACTGCTATGAATGGATAAATCACAATAATTTGGATTTGGTAGTTAAATATTTAAAGATGCACTATGCAATTTTTCAGGCTGAGGATCTTACGGCACATGCTTTCTCCATGGCGTTTATTGCATTACCTAAAATGTTCCACAGTCTAAAATTAAACTAATCTATCTCCATGGCAACAAGGAGATGATGCCACAGGGAAAGTTTTAGGTCAGGTCTGTGCAGTGATTTTTAGATATAAAAACACATCTCCATGGAGACAAACAGGAGGCAGATGTCCCTACCAGAAAAGTGAACTTTTAAACCTAGGTTATCAGCAACGGTATTATGGTACAATTTAACTTTTGCACGGAGCCATAGACTGTATAAAGATGTGGATGGGAGTGTGACGTCACCCATGGAGTTCAGCTCCAGTCAAATCAAGCTCACAAGGCAAACAGTCATAGGAGCAAATCTAGAGTTCCAAAGTAGAAACAGGAATTTATTTACGTACAACATAACGAAATAAAAACACCAGGATCATGTACAGCGAGTTAACACAAACATTTTAAGAAAAGTTTAAGTCAAAATAACAAGGCTCACAGCAGCAGTTACAGAGAGACGGATGAATTTCATTGTAAAGTTAATTGGAGCCAGAGACGATGGAGCTGGAAGCACCACCCTGAACACTTCCTATTTGGAACACGACGGCGAGCAGGTTAGCTATGTCCATTTATATATACAGTCTTTGCATGGCGTGCTAGACTTGACAGATTTTAAGGGAAAACTGCCTCACTAAGATGAAACTAAATGCACATTTTTGCAGAAATATAGAATATTTTTACTTTAATATAGCTAGGACGTTACATGAAGCAATCTAAGTTCTAATTGTCAGACAATGTAAAATTACTCTGACATGGGCTACAAAAGTGCATCAATAGCACTTTAAATCCTTATCTGGAAGTTTACAACACATTTTTATTTTGAATCATCTAATTATGTCTCACACTACACAGGATTCAAGATGTCATCTTCAGCTCAACATATTACAACACACTCACACCCACACTCAAAACTCATTCACTGACAAGCCCTACATTAGAATACTACAGTGTGATTCACTCACTCATGCCATTCAACCTGCTATAGCGTCATACTCTGTGCAGTTTGTGTGTTGTACCTGGGGGCAGTCTTTGATGTAGTGTCCCTTGTTGAAGCACAGGTGGCATAGGTAGTTGGGTGGGGGCCTCTTGTTGGGTTTCCGGGGCTCGGAGGACAGGGACAGGTCGGAGAAGTGGTCTGTCAGGGAGTTGAGCCCGTCCACGATGTTGTTGAGGGAGCCATAGGGAGACACGTTCTTGTACACGTTGTTGTTTAGGGCCTGGAGACAAAGTGGAGAAAGTTGTAAGTACTGGTCTTGACTGAGTTCTTGTTCTCGACTAACTGATTCATCTGTTTTTATTGGCACATATGACAAAGACGTCTGCATTTTTAAATAAATGTACCTCAGAAAATCACATTGACCAATGTTATTATTTTTCCTTTTTTGTTTTTACCAAAGCCCTGTGTCTCTTGCTGTGTTCCAGGGAACTGGTAACGAAAATATTTCCCACATCGGAATGGAAAATTGAGCAAGAACTCAAATTGGTAATTCTGTCTTGTGATCTGTGAGATGATGGGGGATGTGATGACGGACTTCACATTTGAGATTATGAGATAAACTGTGATGTACTACAACACTGGAATCACCATGGCAGCGTGGTGCTGGAGTGGAGAGCACTCACACTTCACAGCAAGAATGTTCCGGGTTTGATTTCCGGGTCACCCAGGCCTCTGTGTACAAAATTTGCATGTTTCTCTCTGTGTCTGGGTGGGTTTTCTCTGGGCACTCTGGTTTCCCTCATCAACCCAAAACGTGCACCATATGTAAAATTCTCCAGCTAAGGTAGGCCTGATCATGACTAGCAACAAGATCTGGAGATGGGTCCCCAAGTACTGCCCACTGCCCTTGATGAGGATGGGGAAAAAATACAGAGGACAAATTTCCCCGTGGGGACAACAAAGTGTACCCTGACCCCTACCCTTGACCTTAAACAGATACATTTCTTTCGCCTGCAAATTAGCATTAGACATGTTGTTTAGACACACGTTAATTCAGCTGGAACGCTCTGAGGTCAGAACTCGTCATATTCAAGTGGGAAATAACCCACCTCCATGTTCTGGACCACAGCGTCTGAACCAGAGATGTTCCAATCAGGACTTTTCTGCACCATGGAAATGTTTATGGAGTTTGAACACAGGATGTGATGTCTGGAAACTCACGTGTCCTGGCTCAAAAATCTGCACCAGTTATTTGGGCTCTGTGGTCAAAATACTGTCATGTATTACAACACTAAATGACATCTCCATAGAGTTTATCAGTGGTATCAATATTTATTTAAGTGCATATGACAGGTTTCCATGTTTTTCTAATGATTTGGTTTGGTGGGATAGTACCAGTGGTAAATAGTGATGTAGGTTTAGTCAGTTAAGTCAGTTAAGTGTCAGTTTGTGGAAATAAGAAAAGTAGAAGAGGAGAAAAGTACAAAAATACAGGAAGTAGCCTAGTGGTGAGTTCAAAAATAGAATGCCTCTATCTGTGTCATCAGGAAGGCATTTTTCTGACAGATGAAACCTTGATTAACAAAACAAAGGTGTTGTCATCTATTTTTATTGTGGAATTTGGACCAGTTGTTAACATTATAGTTGCTATAGGTATCAGTATGTCACATGTGCAAGATTAAAGTAAAATAACCAAATAAAAAAAACAAAAAACTAGGTAATAGTTTGAGTAAAATCCTGAATATGATTATTTTAGTGAAATTAGTAACCATCATATCACTTATCAGAACCTATTTTTGCATAAAATTGACTCTTGTGAGCTTTATGGCATATTAGAATGTTATTACCTCCTCAGAAACCCAGAGGTGTGTTTTGTTTCAGTCATGTTTGAGTAACCCTTTATTATTAGTCTGTTTACATGCTCTGTTCCACCTTGTGATGTCATGAAGCTGTATTTTTCAAGTTAGCAGCTACATTATACCTTTTGTACAACAGAAATTGGCAATTCAAGGACTGAAATTATCCAAATGATTTTAGTGAAGGTGTGTGGATTTTAAAAACACAGTGGAGCACTTTTCATATATTACCACATGACATCACAAAGTGGAACAGAACCAGGATTTCTGTGTTAAACAACTCCAGTTAAGTTTGTGATGAGGAAATATTAAAACAGATCGAACAGAAAATAGTGTAATATGTGCGCTTTAAGTACACAATTTAATAATTCCAGATCAGATTTTCGGTCACTTCCCTTCTAGCCCCCCCACCCTCCTATTCTGTGTGATCATTTCTCTCATTAAATTCAGAACATCTGGCGTGGGGCCCAGCTGTCCCTGTGAGCTGGAAAAGTACTGAGCAAATCCACCAGGAGACAAGCCCTAAGCAGAGGATGAATCATTGTAAACAAGGAGGCCAGAATGCACCCTCTACCAGCCTGCAGATCGTCAACAATGTCACCACGCGCTGCTGGCACTTAACTAGCCGTGGTCAATGCGATGTGTGCCCCGGGGCCACTCAGGGCACCGGTGCATGGCAGAGTCCCGGTTTAATTCGTGGGAGATGTCCGCTGAATATTAAGCATGGGATGAAGTGCAGTTAGATTTTAAGGGCTTTTATTTAGTTCAATAGCAAGATAGAGTGTTGGGCAGTTTTTAGCTTGACTCTAACCTCCCTTTGCTCTCTGAATTATGTCACTTCCCCTTCAGAGCGCTATCACAACACAATCAGCGTGCATCCTTAATGAAACTATCACACATCGCATCAGGTTTGTCAAGTTGTTGTGGACAGTTTTGCCTCATGTTTTTGCACATTTATAGAGAGTTGTCTTGTGGGACAATGGATGAGGTAGGCTTGTGTACAGGGTCGTGTTGCTACGGATGTGTGCCCCAGGCGACGCAGGGCACTGGTGCATGGCAGAGTACCAGACAGTTCATACGAGATGCCTGCTCAATATTAAGCGTGGGATCAAGTGCAGCTGGATTTTATAGTCTTATATAGCTCAATAGGAAGATTGAGTGTTAGTATAGATGTAACATGGTGACTAAAGTTACTTCACTCATAAAGCTACCTTCTCTAAGTTTATATGTTGTTGTAGTTTTTTCTTGTGTCCAGTACATGAGATGTGTTCCTCTCTCACGTCACCTGTGCCATCTGTCTTTTTCTCTGTTTTCTGTCAGGCCCATAGACTGTATATGTAGGAAGTGAGCATGGGGGCACTTCCGGCTCCATCGAATCTTGCTCCAATAGGTTCTATTCACGCTTACATCACAAACCAGGAAAACGTTTGGAAAGATGCGATTACAACTACCAGTGGGTTCTGTTCGCAATAGTAAGTCTGACAAAAACTAGGAAAAATTTGAAAATGGCCCAGTTTTCTTCATCTACATGTCATTGTAGTGTTCCGTTATATTCAGCTAATCAACAATTACAACCATACCTCAGTTTTCAACATTTCCTCACTGACACACAACTCAGAGCACACTGGGTACATGCGATTAGAAGAGATGAGGGTGCCAAATTCAAGATTATTTCAAACAGCACATACGTATGCAGTCTTCGTTTTACCGCTGATGACATTTACTTCAGTTGGTTTTATCACAGATGGTCGGCAAAGTTGTAATCGCATCTTTCCAAGTGTCTTCCTGGTTTGTGACGTAAGCGTGAACAGAGTCTATTGATTTTACATTGAGAACTGCCTCCCCTCTTTCTGTAATTGGTCTTAAAATGTCCACTCTACATGATCCTGGGATTTTTATTGAGCTATTTTGCCTGTAAATAAATTCCTATTCCTAATATGGAACTAAGCATAAATATTGGCAAAAAACTATATAACCTTATGACGATATTACGGAAATTCATCTGAAATGTGCTTAAAAGTGCCGGTAAATGTTGCGGTGGAGGTTCAAATATCACACACAGAATAAATGAGCTGTGAAACTAACCACAAAATTGCAAAAAAAAAAAAAAAAAATCACTGTCTACTTGGAAGAGTGCTCTGCAGGTTTCTGTTTATTTTAATCCACCATTTATTTCGTTAAGATGATACAATGGATCTTCTAACTTTCTGCCTCACCCTCTGTCAGTTTGGCCCAGAGGCACTGAATGGGTCAAAGGGAGGTGATACAATTCTCCACAGTCAAGTGTACTGTCCTTAACCTATGACTTATTTTACGCTGTGCAAACTGGAGATGGGGCAAACTTGAGAAGAAGAACCACGTGCAAACTCCTCACACGATCTGGTAATTTAACACAGTAACAACCTGATTTGTGCCCTTTGCCACTTAAGTAAGATGTCATTGCCAACTGTCATATTAAGCACAGACTTTGGTAACTGCTGTATGTTTGAGCTGTACAATCGAATTGTGTTTTGATTGAATTGTATTGTGATTGCGATTAGACGATTGCGATATATGCTTAAAGGGCCAATATTTCACTATTTTCTAATCTGTGTTACGGTTTCCTCATCACAAACATGCTTGAAGTTGTGTTTGGTTTTATTCACACATGGTCAACACAAACTCTGCGTATCTAGGCTGAGTTCTTCTCTCAGACAGAAAACACTCCGCCTTATGATGTCATATGGTAATACAGGAAGTGCTCCACTGTTTTTAAACTCCATGCACCTTCACTAGAATCACTTGGACCGTTTCAGCCCTAAAATTTTCAATCTCTACTAAACAAAAGGTAAAAGGTAGCTGTTAACTTGAAAAATACTGCTTCGTGACATCATAAGGTAGAACAGAGCATTTTCAGCTTTGGCAAACATGTGTGAACAAATCAAAACACAACAACACAACATTATAACACGGCTTAAAGCTCACAAGAGTCAATATTGCGAGATATAGGACCTTTAAAAAGTAGGATTTTGTTCAGAGCATTCCAAGTGCATTAACATTTGAAGGTAGACTGAAATATGAACTGATAAACCAATACAAGAATCCCACGCATTTCAGAACATGTCTTTGGAGTTCAAATTTACAGGTAGTACACGATTTTCTATAAAAAGACAGAATATTTTGTTGTTTGCAGAGAACATTCTGTTACGTAAGTGCAGTCTTTGCAGTTTGATAATAGCTAGGCCTGCCACGATAGCAAATTTTGAAGTGTGATCTTTGCTGAAGTAAATACAGATGATAAACAAAAATACTGAAACGAATTTATGCTACTGATACAAAAAGCCAAGAGCAGATTTAAAGGTACACTATGTAACTTTTTGGTTAGGGGTACATCACCTGCTTTAAACATTTAAACCATAAAATCTATCAACGGCAGAACGTTTGC